GGTTCTAGAATAAAATGACTCTGGGTGCACCCGGGATTTACGGGGGAGCAGCTACAGTGACCTCCAACATACAATGAAACATAGCGTAGGTGTTGTGGGTCCCTTATGTGGTCCCCCGTGAACAGACAGGTCATGTGCGCCATCAGATCATGGATGTAATAAACACAATCAGAGTCACTGTTGTCATTTGAAAGCCTTGATTACTAATTATAAAAAATATATATATATATATTTTTTTTTCTTCTAATCGATTGAAGGTGCACAAATTTAAAATAGGGGTGTAATGCAACCTTCCGCACCCTCGTAGAACCAAGCCTGCAACTTTTCATTACACATGAAAAAGAACGGCAAAGAGAAAAAAACAACAGAAAAGTCTGTAGAGGGAAACGGGAAAGATATGGTTGACATGAAACTTAAAAAATGTGGAAAAGCTAAGAAAAAAGGAAATGCATTTATTCTTCAGCTCTGGATGAACAATCAAACCCTGATGGCTTGTTAGCTATATGATCAGTGCCACGATTTCTTCTGAAGACACCAACTTCGGCGTCGGCTGAAATCTGTCTTACTACAGCGCTATGAACCAAAAATGTAATTAATTACCTTTAACAGGCTGAAAGGAGGCTGAAATAACTACAGTTATATCATGACGAGGGTTTATAAAAAGTATAAATTAAAGACTTGTCAGGTCTGTCTGTAAGATGACAAGCAAATTTATATTTTCTTAATGGAGTTTGGATCGACCGTTTCTGATGCATCTCAGGATTCAAAAGAATCTTTACTCTGAAATAATATATTTGCCTGATTTACTTGATGACATTGAGTGTTATAGCACCTCCTGAAAAATGGGCATAATTTTTCTATCATCCAAACACCTGTACATCCAGGTCCTAACACTCCTGTAGGTAACGCCTAAAGAAGCCATGTGTGATAAAATTGTTCAATATTGTGATAACAGCATAAAGTGTGATAAATAAACCAAATGAAAGAGTGGGATTTAGCTATACCTCACTTCGACATCAATCTGCTGTAAAAAAAAAACCTCACAGGAATAAATAAATCCGAAAAGCATAGTCTATTTTTTAACCCATTGACACTAATTATTCTGAGGGAAGCTGATCGCTAGCTTTAGCTTAGCTTCATCTGACTGCATCCAAATGGTGTGAAAGCATGAACTGTTTACTGAGGGCTCCATCAAACAGGTCAAATGTGCACGAGCCAAATGGGAAAACATTGCTCGTTTACATAAAACACTACAAATTCAGACTTCTGCAATGTGTTTGTTTTGAGTGCTCATAATGATAGCTGTAAAGATGAAATTGCAATTAGTTGTGAAAAACCGATAAGTGCAACTAAAGAGAAAAATCTACACTCTTAATGTTTTTTACTCTAAGTATTCAAAGCTACCTGTAAATGTAAAAAGCCACTATATAACCCTAAGGACAAAACCTGCAGAAGGTAAGCTGATAACTTATGCTGACAATACGACCTTTATATACCGGGCTTTTGTAAATGATTTCTACATTTGGAGTTAAAATGTGTCCAGAATATTTTTCTCTCCGGCTGAACAGTGTGCGGTGAGAGTGAAACAGACGAGAGCAGCGTGATCAAACTGCCTCTCTGTGGGAGCACAGGTGCACTGTGGGATGTTGACCTGCTCCGAGCAGCATGGCAGAAGGTGCAAAAGACAGCGAGTCCTGATGCCCAAATTACAGAGCACGGCTGGATGGTGACACTCCCCTCTGCAGCTCTGAGGATGGAGTGACGCAGAAATGCAGACAGACGGAGCACAGTGACATTTTACTGCATGTACTGAAAATGTCCTCCATCACAATGTGAGCTCTCCTCTCTGCTCCAGCGTGATCTCACGCCTTCGTCTAAAAAAATGTCTCTGCTGCCAAGATTCAATAATCAAATGATTCTATTTTTAGGTTCACCTGTGATGTCCTGCAATAATTCTTGATTAACGACTGCATTGGAACTGATGTAGTCTTCGAATCCAAAAGAAACAATCACACATCTTACTAAAAATGATCAACAGCAGAGAATGAATCTGGGGGTTACTGACACTTGTTAATTTCATCACCATGAGTTTCTGTATTTCTTAAAGCATCACATCCTGGAGAACGATGATATACAGAAGAGTAAACCAAGCCTCAATGAAAAATATTTGCAAACAGGATCAGAAGAAAAGAAGACAGAAGAAGGGAAGCTAATGAAAAATCTTCATCAAATTCAGCTGCAGGTTTGACTTTCACCTTTGTTACCTTCAGTTATTAGCCGCAGTGCGAGCCGGTCAGAGGGTACAGGAGGTCACTGAGTCACTCGCTTCATGCTTTAATGTGACATTTCATTGCTTTCAATGTTAAAAAACAATCTTTTTTTCCTGCAATAATCTTCCACAGTATGACGTTAGCTTCCGCCTACATCCTTTGAATAACATCTTTTCTCCTGGTTTTCTTCTACCTAGAATAGCTGTCAGTATCCTAAATTAATATTTTGCAGCTATGTAGGACGTGTATGTTATTTCGTTAATGGGGAGGTAATATCCTGCACCACAGTAACCTTGGCTTTCTGAGAAACATTTTAACCTGAGATGCACATGGCCGTGCTTCTGTAGCAAATATGCAGCTGATGGCCGAGACAATGTGAGTCTTAAGAGGATGGAACATATTACAACAAACAAGTAAAACATCAAATTAAACTGAAACATTTTTAGACAGCCTCCATCGGGTCTGCAGCTTGATTCAAACATGCTGTCAGTTTGTCGATGTTTCCATCAGTGTGCAGAGGAACCTGTGGTAAGAGACTTTGTCCTGTCTGTAGATTTGACTTTGTAGAATATTCTCTGCTGTCTGTGGGTGTGTTCGACCTCTCTGACCATCCTTCTTTAAAGTCTAAGACCTCTACAGTACTGTTACTAAACCATCAGTTTCCTTCATTCTCTACTTTTTAACAAATCCTTACAGAGAGTCTAGCTGTCATCAAACACCGTCTAAGAAATAAAGATTATTTTAATGTCTCTGATGTTCTGCTCCTTTGTATTCTACATGACGCATTGCATTCACCGCATGTGCACTTTATCACATCAGTTTCAGTTTCAACAATATAGGTCAAAAACAGCTTATTATTTTATAAAGCTTTCAATGCAATTTCAATATCTTGAAATACTGGAGGGAAAAAAATATTGGTTAAAAAAGAATTGCTTGATCCTAGCCCTGTCTTTGTAGATTAACTTTGACTGCAATACTTAATGTGAATTGTATTTATGGTAAAACAAGTTCCCGTCCATTAACAGGGATGCAGAAATGAGAGCTGTAAATATTAACATGTTATTCGGTCTGATATCCGCTCGATGAAGGACTCCTCAGGATTTCATTTTTTTCCAAAAGATAGACAAGAATCATGAGCGACAATTTCATATCCACACATTGAAATAAACACATTATAAGTCAAAACTCTGCTAGTCAAATTACATTCAAAAATAGAATTCTGGCTGTTATGGTGCACACTTTCCTTAATTGTGCATGTTGCTGCACAGAGAGCTCAGGGGACAGGATGGATGAGGGAATGAATTTAACAGTTTGAAGCAGAAAAACAGAAACTTCATCTTTTCAAGATGTAGAAGTAGAATTTAGAGCTTGTGGTACAAGGAGAGTTTGGTGTCTGTAGGACAACAGATTTCAAAGGTTTTAAACACTGACTGTGCTCATTCAAATCATACATTTCCTTTTACACACCCTGTTTTTTTGACACCGATCGGAGAGTTAGCTGATCAGTGTCAAAGTGTTTTCTAAGACAAAGAATCGTTTGAGGCTCAAAACAGCTCAAAATGATTCAACAATCATTTGAAATATAATTGTAAGAAAATAGAGGACATTTTAAGGCTCCCACTTTTCACCATGAAGCAGTTACCTCACATGGTGTCTCTTTATTAGTCATTACAAAGCACTTATTAATGCCTTTTTTGTGACCATATTGTGCAACAACCATGTCAGAGTTTTCTGTCAATAACCTCCTTACTGATTAGTGCAGGAATTAAGATGCATTACACAAAAATTAAAATATGAGCTTATAAGGTGCTGGCACAATACTGAGCATAAAAAGACCAAAAGTCATGCACTACATCTTCCCTTTGAGCATTAATGAGGAGGTTATTGAGAAGAATCTCTCAGATCACACAGATAGTAGTTGAAGCAAATGGTCATGCAGAGTGTAAGGCAATAATGCATGCTCTTCTAATAAAGAGCCATTATGTTAAAATCCTTACAAGCAGCTTTTCAATGCGGGAAACATTTCTAAACAAAAGTACTTTCAAATATCTTCAGGATTTTTAAACACTGATGGAGAAAAGGATGCAGACGATCAGCTGCGTTTTCCGGGTAATTGTGGCTCTAAATATATTTTTTTAATAGCTGAAGATTGAAATGAAAACTTTCTCTTCAAAAATCCAACCAAAGTTTAATTTTGAAAAGAAATTAAACTGCATAACTTTGTTTAAAAAAATCACAAAGGACACGACTTTTGGAAGATATTGCGTTTAAATATTTGTGAAAACATGACATCGCCGCTCCTTCGAGGGGATGATTGTTCTCGTCTCTGTCATGTAGAAAAGAAGACACGTGTCGGCACCAGAATCAAACACAGTGATATTTAAATATGCCTCGAGCATTTTCTGTCAACCTACTTTGTTTGAATAAATGAAATGTCCCTGTCGGATCTGATCCCTTTGATCAAATAAGAAAGACTTTAGGAGTCAGAGGTTTGGATGTTGTGTGTAAAGCAGGTAAACTGAGACAGCGCGAGCCCAACATGACACCCAGTTAAGCATCCATCAGGCCGGATAATGGATGTGATGTTCCGCCTCATGTGTGAACACCCACAAAGAGAGAAAAACCATTTGAAGACAGTCAAAATCTCCCTTTTCATTTTTTAACAATAAAGTTTTTTTTTTGTTTTTTTTTAAAGAACTTGTGATAGAAAAGCCACAGACCAAACTCCAGTCATTTTTCTTCTCTTTTTACTTCAGTTAAGAAAGTTACACAAAAGGTGGCAAATTTGTCGACAATAAATAATAAATAATTTTTGTTGCACGGGAACAAACGAAACATTTTCTTCCAGAGCTAACGTTTTTTTTTTAACTTATTAATAATAATAATAATAATAATAATAATAATTATACACATCTTTGGGAAAGAAAAAAAATGTAGTCGGACGGACACTAACTCACACAGATGTCCCACGGAGCCTGTGGCAGAGAAGAGGTAACCTTGTTGCAAATGCTTTAGTACTCGGGTCATGAAGAAGAGGATGGTGGTGGTGATGATGAAGAGCAGTGCTGTTTCCTTCATGTAGAGGGGGGGTCCCAATTTTAAAAAAAAGTCACCAGTCTGTGTTCAGCAGGTTCAGCTTCAGGTGTGTCTCCGTCAAACACAGAGTCCGCTTCACGTCTCCGTTTGGCAACTGGAACCGGGCGCGTGAACGTGCAGCACCGGCCGTGATGACGCGTCACGGCAGGACGATGTCCGTGGTAAAATCCCATGATTGTCTTCACAGTGTCAAAACACAACCAGGGGGGTTGTTTGGTGCGGTCTGGGAGGGTGGGGAGGGGGCGGTGGGATGGGTGGGGGCGGGGGTCCCTCAGGCCTCGATGGGGCTCGACACCATGCTGTTCGGTGTGTCCGGGAGCTGCGACGACATGGACGCTACCTCACTGCCCGTCGAGTTGGAGCCCGGGCCCCCCTCCGAGAAACTGACCTGCGGGACAGAGGGAGGGAGTCAGACACATCCGGGTACTGATCACAAATTATAGCTGTGACCGTTTAATAAACAGGAATTATGGTCCAGGACTCCCAAAGCATGCCGGGACAGCAGTTAGACATGAAAACGAAGTTAACTGAGTCTTTCTTTTAACGAAACACCAAGGACGTGATCCGTGTCACAGTCTGTTAGTCCGAGAAAATGTTGCAATATTTGTAAGGAAGAGAACACAAACAACAGACTGATGATGCTCTCATGATTCATACAGATCAACGTGTCAGCGTGATAATAAGACAGACACGTACACTCAAACCTCTTAGACGTTTGCATAGTTTGAATTCTACCTAAAACAAGTGGATTAAAAACTAAAAACTAAATTAAACTTCATAGCTATGATGTGCAGGATATCTTTTCTATAGCCCCATGCGCTACATGATATGTACTTAGGCTAGAAGGAAAACTATCCTGAATGTTCCCTAATCCGTCACAAACATTATATTTGTATTAAACAAACTAAAGGCAGAGTCCCTTGTAAGTGGAAAATGGTCCAGCGAACAGATGCATTCTCTCTGCAGCGCTATAATCCACTTAAATGTGGCGGGGGGACACAGGATGTTGTTTGTGTCCACCTCCAGTCTGGAGCGGATTCTAAAATATTGCAGGAGTTTGTTTCATCCTGTCCGTGATAAGAATACAATTATCTAAAGAAAAACATCAGCCTCAGTCTGAGCTGCTACAGCGAGACTGGCCAAAATATGACCAGGCCTAATTTTATAAAAATCCACATGATCTAAATGTTTAGGCCTATATAAGATTTTGAATAAAATCAAATGAAAAAAGAGAGAGCTACTTTAGATATTGAATGCTGTGGAGTGCAGGAAACACGGTCGCTGAAACTCAGCCTCATGTAACGGCTCATTCAAATGAACACTGTCGTAAAAATTCTGCTCATGCTGCTCCCTCAGAGAAATATATATTTTTGTATTAGAGTGTAAAACTAAGAAAGCATCAGCATCATCATGATCCTGTAGTGTCTCCTGATGGATGTGAGGATGCGCATTTTACGCAGAGAAATCGTGAAAGTCATGGCACGTCTCTGTATGCAGAGAACTAAAGAGCGAAATACATTTAGTAGACTAATGTTTGATTTTAATAAAGAACTGAACTGTGACAGTCGGAACCCTGCAGTACAGTGGCAGCATCCGTATGGTTAAGTTGTCATTTGAAAAATTCCGCGCACATGAACCTGGACGCATCCGCTCGTGGGACTGGTGTTTGGAACAATTTATATTAAAACACAACTAAACTATTCTAATGACGCACCAGCTGTTGGAAGGCGGGCTGGTCGATGTCGCTCTGCAGGGCAAAGTCGCTTAGGACCTTCCAGGGCGGCTGGTAGCTCTGCACCTCCACCGGGTTCGCCTGCAGGCCGCCGTCGTGCCGCTCCGGACTTGCTGCAACCATCGGAGTCCCCGTCATACCCTGGATGTTCTAAAAGAAGAGGGGGGGAGGGGAGGGGGTGTTTAGAACCAGAGTGCACAGAGTCTATCACATCCATCACTGAGGGTTGCTGAAGGTAATGTAAGGTATGGGTGGCTGTGAGCAGGGGCGTCTCCGGGATTTCTGGTCCCCTTGGAAAGATCTCACATTAGGCCCCTCCACCACATCCGCAGTTAACCAAGATATATTACTATGACACCTCCATAAGCCTAAACAAATAACAGTAAAATATTTAAATTATGGTTATTTAAATGTTTTGGGGTTTTTTTTATGCAGAGGTACTGCACATTTGAAAAATGGATAATGATCAACACTATCAAAGACTACTGAAGCTTTGAAAGATGCTTAGACAAGGAACGAGTCCATCCAAAAATAAAATGACAATGTTGAAATTTGCGTGATGGACTGCACAAAAGTACATCTGACACACAAATCCCAATGTTGCCTATGTATTTTTGCAGCAATTTTTGGTAATTAAAAACAAGATTAAAACAAGATAAAATACTCACTCAATATTTCTCTTTTTGTTGCACTGTTACCCAAAGTTTTAAAAATATATATATATATCTATAATTTTTACTGGGATCAAATCAAAGTTTTAAAATCTGATATTGGTGCTTCTTTGGATAACTCCCTGTACAAACAAATCTAATTAAAAACAATACATTTTATTTCAGGACCAAGGGAGGCCCTTTCTTCCATAGGGGCCTTGGGTAGACAGTTCCCTCCCACAACAACGCCCATTGCTCTGTGTGTGTTGGGGGTGGGGGGGGTGAAATTAATCTCCCTGTCAATCAACAGAACAATCAATAAACATGCAAACAAATAAGTAAACAGATGAATATGAGTGTAAACAGCGCGCTTAACTTAACTTCAGCTTCACTTTAACTCTGCGCGCTGTCATGCGCAGCTCCGATCTCGCGGAGTGATTTTAGACTTTCTGAATAAAAGTGTCCTCTCTGCTGGTTCATTGGTAATGGAGCTGCTTTGATAAGACTGGTGTTAAATATTGGACTCTCTTTAATAAAATGGACAGATCGCTGCAGCTCTGTTTGCTATCATTTGTTTGTCACAGTTTTTTCTAGATAAACTCATCCTGTGAGTGAGTTTTCCTCCACCTCTCCGTCCTCTCACCGTCTTGTCGTTGGGCTGCTGTTGCTGCAGCTGCTTCATCAGTATGCTCCTCTTCTTGTCCTTGCAGCGTTTGTTCTGGAACCAGACCCGGATGACCCGCGGACTCAGGCCGGTCATCTCAACGAGCTGCTCCTTCATGAGCGCGTCGGGCCGCGGGTTGGCGTTGTAGCAGGTCCGCAGAGTGTGCAGCTGCTTCTCGTTCAGCACCGTCCGGACCCGCGTGGTCTTCTCCGGCTGCTTGTGCACGTGAGGCCGCAACGCAGGCTGCCGGGCCGAGATTGGTTCTGCTGTTTGCAATGGACGAGACAAAAAAAGAGGAGAGGGAAGAGAAATTAACGGATCTGTGTGCAGGTTCAAAGAATGAGAGAAGATGTGGAGGGAGAAGGTTTCAGAGGTGAAGAAGTTTCAGACTTTAAAGGCCTCAAACGCTCAGCACACCAATAACAACCTGTCCTTATCTTTACATTCACATGTCTTGTTTAGTAATGAGACGCTTTACAAACACACAGCTGACGATATAGGCCAATACTGATCAGGGCAGAGCGGTTTGTATATGAGGAGAGCGTTTCTCCACCGCGTTTTGAATTCTGATGAAAATAAATCTTGAAAATCCAAATACGTTTACAATATGTTTACAACTATTTTTGAGCATCTGTGGTCTCTAAGTCTCCATGAATAAAACGATAAAGTTGTGGCTGACATGCACATTTTATACAATTCAGAATGGGATGCTGCATTCAACCCGCCCCCTTCCACAGACCTGCAGAGCTCTGCAGTATTTCTTGTTAGGACACCCCCTCCCCTCCTCCTCCTCCTCCTCAGTGATAACTCGGTGTATTTCTGACAGCAGCGCCCGCTCTATCTAATCTACTGAACCCGGACTCACTGACTGCACGGTGGTATGCAGAAAAAAAGACAAAACATAGAGGAACAAGCAGAACACCTGAAGCAGAGGATGAGCTCCACCTGTTCCTCTGACGCCAGGGACAGTCTCAGCCTATACTTATGTCTCACAGCGCACAGGACAAGAGGGACACATCGGTCCATAGAGTCAGTCAGAATCTGCTCATTTTAAACTCCTTCATTAAAAGTCCAATCAGGAGTGAAAAGCTGCTGAATTCCGGCTGAAGACAGAGTCAGATCATACACACAGGAGCAGGTTGAAAGAGTCCCACCCCCCCTTGCTCCCGGGACGTTACCTGCCATCTGTAGTGGTCTGGCGGGGTGCAGCGGGCTGAGCGGGTCTCCGTGGCCCAGGCTGGCCCTCTCCACCACGTCGTGGTCTGCCCGGCAGAAGAGGCCGTCCTCCCGCAGAGCGAACTCGTCCCCCGGGATGAGCTGCCGGCTGCAGGCCACGCAGCGGAAACACTCGATGTGGTAGACCTTGGAGCGGGCACGCATCACGAAGTCGTTCTTACTAAAGCCGATGTTACATTTAGCACACTTTATCCCGTACAACCTGCGGGACACACGGGCACGCGCTCCGGTTACTCCGACAATAAGAACAACAATAGTTACAGGAACAACAACAACAACAACAACAACAATAATAATAATAGCATATTAATAATAATTATTATTAGGCTATCATTCTTATTATTATTATTGT